GGCAGTACTTGCAGCTCTGAAGGAGAGGGGACTGTTCCGTGGCATTGAGGACAACCCCATGGTGGTACCACTTTGCAAGTGAGTGTGGGGGCCAGAGAAGGGCACTCCTCAGGGTGCTCCTCACCCAACCTCCACACCCATTTGTACCTACAGTCGGTCCAAAGACGTGGTGGAGCCTCTGCTGCGGCCACAGTGGTATGTGCGCTGTGGGGAGATGGCTCAGGCTGCCAGTGCTGCCGTGGCTCGGGGTGACCTCCGCATCCTGCCTGAGGCCCATCAGCGGACATGGCACGCCTGGATGGACAACATCCGGTGCGTCAGGCTTGATGTTGAGAGGGTGACTAGGTGAGGGACTGAGCTGAGCACAGGCCAGGGCACCTCCTTACCCCGACTCCTCCTTTCTTACCATTGGCAGGGACTGGTGCATTTCCCGGCAGTTGTGGTGGGGCCATCGTATCCCAGCCTATTTTGTTACTGTCAGTGACCCAGCTGTACCCCCTGGGGAGGTGAGAACCAGGCCAGAGGGGAATGCCACACATCCGTGGGAGCTGTGGTTTGTTGGGTCTTGGGTGGGGGTCGGACAGGGCAGGGATGCCCCCCTGGTACTCACTCCACCCGTGGCAGGACCCTGATGGGCGGTACTGGGTGAGCGGGCGCAGCCAGGCCGAGGCCTGTGAGAAGGCAGCCAAGGAGTTTGGAGTGCCCCCTGACAAGATCAGTCTCCAGCAAGGCAAGGCCGGGGTAGGGGGGACCTAGAGGGTGGAGGGCAGAGCTGGGCCTCTGATCCTCACCTCTGCCCCCTCTGACCTCTGATCTTTGGCTTCCTTCAGATGAGGATGTATTGGATACCTGGTTCTCCTCTGGCTTGTTCCCCTTTTCCATTCTGGGCTGGCCCAACCAGGTACGTCTTTGAGGCCAGCCCAGGTTGGGTGGGGGTCTTGGAGGTGGGTGCTTGGCTCCCCGTAACATCCTACTCTGTCTCCAGTCAGAAGATCTGAGTGTGTTCTACCCGGGGACACTGTTGGAGACGGGCCATGATATTCTCTTCTTCTGGGTGGCCAGGATGGTCATGCTGGGCCTGAAGCTCACCGGCAGGCTCCCCTTCAGAGAGGTGCGAAGCCTGCTGAGACCTCTCCCGCAGTCCCCCACCTCCGCCACCCTCCTGTGCCACAGCTCAGGCTCAGCATGGATGGGACACAGGGCAGGGGCCATGGGCAACTGTGGTGGGTTTGTCGGGACTGAAAATGAGCCTAGGATCTGCTCAGCGATTTCTGTGCCTGGGCTTTCTAGAGGAGGCAGCACCTCTAAGTCCACGAAGGTGCTGAATGGGCTGGCAGGGACACCGAGGGACTTGAGGTTCAGAATGGGACAGACCAGGTGCAGGGCCCTGGGAGAGCAGTGGGGTCTGGCAGGAAAGTGCAGCCTTAAGCCCCTACCCTGCCTCAGGTCTACCTCCATGCCATCGTGAGAGATGCACATGGCCGGAAGATGAGCAAGTCTCTGGGTAATGTCATCGACCCTCTGGATGTCATCCATGGAGTCTCCTTACAGGTATGGCTGGGTGCTAGGCCAGGCCATAGAGGGCTTCGGAGCTGTAGCCACAACCTCCTGACCCCTTGCACCTCACCCTCAGGGCCTCCATGACCAGTTACTGAAAAGCAACCTGGATCCCAGTGAAGTGGAGAGGGCTAAAGAAGGGCAGGTATGAAGGGTGGCCAGGGCTGGAAAGTGGGCAGAGGGAAGGCGGGCCTGGCTCAGGACTCTGCTCCAACTCCTCCTGCAGAAGGCTGACTTCCCAGCGGGGATTCCTGAGTGTGGCACTGACGCCCTCCGGTTTGGACTGTGTGCTTACACATCCCAGGGTAGGGCCCCCAAGTCTCTCAGCTGTGTCCTTTCTCCTCCCACGAGTCCACCCCTCTCCTCTGCCCTCAGTGAGGGTTGGAAGGGAGGTGCTGAGGACAACACACTTCACTGCACCCAGGTCGTGACATCAACCTGGACGTGAACCGAATACTGGGGTACCGCCACTTCTGCAACAAGCTCTGGAATGCCACCAAGTTTGCCCTTCGTGGCCTTGGCAAGGGTTTCGTGCCCTCAGCCACCTCCAAGGTGAGGACCTTGTAGATGTGAAGTGACCAGCACCCACAGGCTGGACCCCCGCCACTCTGGCGTCAGGTGTGGCCCATGTGTCAGGGTTACAGCCCCTGCCCCCATGCGCCTTCATGTAGTGGGGGCAGGGTGGCAGAGGGTTACAGGGCCATTAGGCTCCTGGAATGCAAATCTGCCCATGGTTCCTGCCTCTGTGGATTCTGGCTCCCTCCTCTGGGTACCTGTGCCTCCCGCACATGGTGGGCCTTGGCTGATGTGCCCTTCTCCCCAAGCCTATAGGCCGTGAGAGCCTGGTGGACCGCTGGATCCGCAGTCGGCTGACTGAGGCTGTGAGGCTCAGCAACCAAGGTTTCCAGGCCTACGACTTCCCAGCTGTCACCACTGCCCAGTACAGCTTCTGGCTCTATGAGCTCTGTGATGTCTATCTGGTGAGGAGGGTCCGAGTGGGGCATGGGCAACAGAGCCCTGGGCCTGCCTTTTCCAGTGATTGGCCATGAGACCTGAGCCAGCAGATCCCTCTCCCAGGCTCAGCGAGGGCTGGAGGCTGGATTCTTTCTAGCCCTGAGCCCCGTGCCTCCCTATCCCCTAGGAATGCATAAAGCCTGTGCTGAGTGGGGTGGACCAGGTGGCTGCCGAATGTGCCCGCCAGACCCTCTACACCTGCCTGGATGTTGGCCTGAGACTACTGTCACCATTCATGCCCTTTGTGACAGAGGAGCTGTTCCAGAGGCTGCCCCGGCGGACACCACAGGCACCCCCCAGCCTCTGCATTACCCCCTACCCAGAACCCTCAGAGGTATGGGGTTTGGCCTGGACGGGGCTGCAGCCTACCCCCCAGGCTTTCTTACCCCTTCCTTCACCCCACAGTGCTCCTGGAAGGACCTCGAGGCAGAAGCTGCCCTCGAGCTGGCCCTGAGCATCACTCGAGCCGTGCGCTCCCTCCGTGCCGACTACAACCTCATCCGGATCTGGCCTGACTGTGAGCCTCAAGGATCCATAGCTACCCCGTTCCACTGCCCCCGTGCCCACTCTCTAATGTGGCTACTTCACCTTCCTTCTTCCCCTGACAGGTTTCCTGGAAGTGGCCGATGAGGCCACAGGTGCCCTGGCATCATCAGTGTCGGGCTATGTGCAGGCACTGGCCAGCGCAGGTGTGGTGGCTGTCCTGGCACTGGGGGCTCCTGCACCCCAGGGTTGCGCTGTGGCCTTGGCCTCTGATCGCTGCTCCGTCCATCTGCAGCTGCAGGGGCTGGTAGACCCGGCCCGGGAGCTGGGCAAGCTGCAGGCCAGGCGTGGTGAGGCGCAGCGGCAGGCCCAGCGTCTGCGAGAGCGCCGTGCCACCATGGGCTACCCAGTCAAGGTGCCCGTCAAAGTCCAGGAGGCAGACAAAGCCAAGGTGTGTGGTGCTGGTGGGCGTTCTCTTCCCCATTCCTTGCATCTCGCACCCAGTCCTGTGGCTGCATTCTGCTCAGCCCCAAGCAGTTCATGGGGGAGCTTGGAGCCCAGCCCCCTTGAGCAGGTGGGCAGGGGGCACAGTAGGGTAAAGATGGAGGCAGGCCTAGAACCAGTCACCCCGCCTTCCAGCCACACCCCTCGTGGCCCACCCTACATAGCTTCCCACATGCCTGGGGCTGGGCTCAGAGCACAGAGAGCCAGGGAGCCCTCCAGGCAGGAGTACTGGGTAAACTACGCCAAGGTTGGTGAAGCAGTTGGGCCCAGAGGCACCACTCACTGGGTTCTAGTAGTCTTGCCCAGGCAGGCAGGATTACTCTGGCCATTTTAGAAATGAAGGTTAAATGCCTGTCTAGGAACCTGTGTTCCTAACCTCTGTTTTGCCCCTCAGGTAGGGTCTGGGGCTGGGCCTTTGGGGGCAGGCACCTGTGTTCTGAGGCTCCTTAGTTCTTGGGGACTGACCACTCTGGGAAAAGGCAAGATTTAAAAGTCCACTGATGGTGAAGGAGAAGGGTGGTGCTGGTGAGGAGACTGCTGAGAATCTGGGGGACTGTTCCAGCCAAGCCTGTGGTCCCCTAATTGCTTTCTGTCTGTGGCCCTCAACTGCCTTTCCAACTCTGATCCCTTTGCCTTCATGAGCATTTGGGGCTCTTTTCTCTTAGGCCTCAGTCATCACTACCTATCACCCCTTATTCCACCCCCAGCTCCAACAGACAGAAGCAGAGATTAGGAAGATGGACGAGGCCATCGCCCTATTTCAGAAGATGCTGTGATACACCAACTTCAACCCTTACAACCCCCAGTGGTCCATCAGGGGGGTGGCAGCAATAAATATTTTGCCACAAAACCATCTCTTGTCTTTATGTGTGGTAGGGCCAGGAAAGGGGTGCTGAGAGGCTGGGTTTCTGGATCCTCAAAGGCTGCAGGCCAGGCAAGGGTGCCAGACCCTGCTGGGCAGAGGTGTACCGGCCTGCGTTTGGCCCTGGCACTGAGCCAGGCCTGAGTCACTGTGCTTCTTGCTCCCTTCTGGCTGTTATTCACCTCCCAGCTAGAGCCAGGGAAAGCCCATCCTGGGACTGGCTGCTACTGTTGCTTTGGGACTAGCGTGAGTACAGGAGTGTGGGGCAGAGGATGTTGCAGTCCTGCGGCACCCTACTGGGCCCCCCTTCCTCCTCCCCTTCAGTCCCACTTAGGTTAATGAGAACTCTGGTGCCCTGGGACACCACACCTGGCAGCCCTGCCTGAAGACCTAGCCACCAGGAAGGGGGGATTTCCTGTGCTAGTGAGGGGGCGGGTACTGGGGGAGCAGCCTGGGGCCCCTCCTGCAGGTACAAGTCCTGAGTGGTCCATAAGGCCCTCAGGTTGTCTGGGAAGAGGGAGCGGGCAGGAAACCGGTCTGGGGCAGCTAAGGTGCTTAAGATAAAGTAGAAGGGGCCCAAGCAGGTGCCCATGGACACAGCCAGGCCTGCCCTGAAATTGCTGCTCCTTCCTCCTCCCTTGAGAGTCTTCAGTCCCTTGGCTCTATGTCCCATTATGCATCTCACCTGGGCCCTTCAGTGCTGCTGCTCACATCATCTGCCTTCTTTCCCAACATCGGGAGCCTCCTGGCTGCCCCTGGCTCCATCACTCAGGACCTGAGTGAGGAGACAGCTCTCAATGTCTCTGCAGCTCTTCCTGGAGCAGCTGGCCCCAGGCTGGCCCCCATTTCGTCTTGAGGACTTCCTTGTGAGTATCCCTGGGTCCCGTCACATCCCAGGTGAACCCCTTGGGGGTCCTGGGACCACTACTTGAGAGTCTTTCTTGCCAAAAGACAGGACCCTCTCCCCCCCCACCCCGCCGTTGCTTCTACCCCTGCAGCAACAACACCCAGGAACCCTGGTCCTGAAATCAGGAGTCCTTCTCCCTTAGAAAGGTCCAGAATTACCCCTCATAAGGTGAACCCCCTTCCCCATTCCTTCTACACCCAGACTTGAGTGCCAGTTGCTGAGGAAACATGGGCAATGGCCCAATCCAAGAGGCTTCCCTGGAGACCCTGTTCCCTCCTACTCTTCCAGGGCCACACCATTCTCACCATGAGACGCCTCCTACTTTGGACTGGAGTCCTCGTCCTGGCAGTTCCAGGCAGCCTCAGGTGAGGTGTCTCATGCCAGTGCAGGATGTGTCTCATGCCTCATGCCAGGACTTCCTGCCAACTTTCAGGAATGACCCTGACCTACACTTCGATCGATGCTGAGCAGTTGGGCCAGGGGCACACGCCTGGTTGGGCTCTGCAGGAGACCCCAGTGGTGGCTACAGCTCTTGGCCACACCCAGCCTGCCAGTGCCTTGGGGCAGCTCTCCGTGCCTTGCAGGTAGGAAAAGAGGTGGGGTAATGGTCAGAGGGGTCTTCACTACTTTGTCTCCCAGTTGGTACCTTCTTGATCGTGCCTCTAGAAGGGACTGGAGCACTGCTTGCTAAGCCACCAAGGCTACTCCACGATCCCCACCTCCGCAGTGGCAGCACTTCCTACGGGAACAGCTGGAAGCCACTGCACTGGAGAGCACTGAGGGCAACGGGCAGGCATTAAGGTCAGAAGTGGGCCTAGGTGGCCACTGAACGACCTTTGGTTGGGCTCTGAGTGAGATGGAAGGAAATGTGGGGAGACCCACCCCGCCCAGTAAAGCTCTGGCCTGGGCAACAGGGCTGGGTGGGGCCAGAAGAGTAGTGCAGGGGCCTTGGGGTGTCTGACAGGAGTAGTAGGGGAGGGGGAAGGTTTTCAGGTGGGCAGTGAGGGAGTGGAGAGTTAGGGCTGGAGGCCATGAGAACAGACAAGTGCCATGTTCTCTTTCTCTCCTTTTCCTGGGACCATCTCTAGTCACAGCAACTGGGCGGAACTAGGTTAGGAGCAGCCACACCCTTACCTCCTTGGTGACCGCAAGAGCTGGCGAGCCTGACACAAGGTGCAGCCATGAGGCCATGACCCAGTGGGTAGGGAGGAGCCCTCAGAGCCACCTCTTTTCAATCCACGCAGCCACCATGGCACATCCCAGGGCCACACTGGGGGTAACGTCACTTCATCTCTGGAGTGACCTGTGAGGCTTCCCAGTTTAACCAAAGGCCAGGTCAGTTAGGTGGCTTCCCTGAGGTCACACAGGGAAGGACAGAGCTAGGACCAGGTCTGCAGACCTCACGGAGTTCTCTGTCTTTCACATGGCTTCCTCCCCACCACTAGATCCCATGGAGCTTTCTCTCAGTCCCCTCAACCTCCTCACTACACAACCACCACAGGCTGCCTCTAGTCCATGATAAATGCACTCCCTGGTCACAGCTCACAGAGGGCACGTCACTGTAGGGCTGGCTCCCACACTGCTAGCTTTTCTAGCACAGTCCTGGTCTCAAATATTCAGTCTTACCACCAGCCTCCGAACTCCAGGGCGCCTGGGAGTGTACCTACGAAAGCTCCCGATGAGCTTTCACCCTGTTCTAGCTGGGAGGAAGAGCTGAAGGTGGGTGGATAGGGATAAGGGCTGGGGCAGCAGAGTCTTGGGTTCTAGACATTTGCCCTCTCTTCACAGTGGGAGATCTTACCTGCTCTGGTTTTGAGGGGCTGAGCTACCCCAGGAATTTGCTGGGTTTTACACTCCCTTCTGGCTACTTTGGAACTCATCCCCGCCCCCCAACCCGAGTCTTCATGTACCAGACAGGAAAGCCCTCAGAAGGAAGGGGAGAAAGTCACCTTCTTTCCCCTGACCCAGGCCCCAGGGATCTCAGTCCTGTAGGTCCTTGCTCCACTTCCTATAAGAAGGAGAGAACATTGGGAACTGGGTGGGTGATTTGCCCACTGAGGTGCTGTGATTTGTTGGGGGAGGGATAGAGAGCAGCTTCTCACCTATTAAGCCTTCTTCATTGCCCAAGGGCAGCTTCTGGGGACTCACTAGAGGGCTCACAGGACCCATCAGTGCTGTGTGACTGACCCCTCCAGACTGGCCCTCCACAGAATGTCACTTCCTGCTGATCCTTTGCAGAGCACAGAGAGTCAGGCCAGGTCAGGAAGGACCCCATTTTTTTAGGAGGCAGTGAGTTTTTTACTTCTCCCCTCCAGATCCCTTTCCCAGCCCAGGAAAATGTAGCCATGGGGGCCATCTTGACCAGAGCAGTTCCCAGCTACCACAGAGAGGCATCAGTAAGGACTGCACAGCCCTGGGCTTCTCCCCCTCCCACAAGCTCTACCTCCAGGCTGCAAAACTGGCCCCTCTGGCCTCCATCCGGGCCTTTAGCCTCCTGTGAAGATGCCTGGGACAGAGGACTTCTCCAGGTGAGTGGCCTCCTGGACATGGGCTCCCTAGGTGCTCCTCAGGGAGCTGAGAAACCAGGGGCGGGGGACAAATGTGCAGACCCTTCACTGTGACTCTCCCCAGGCCGTTGCACATCACCCCAGCCTCCAGTCTCAGTTTTGTCCTGGACACCACGGGCAGTGTGGGCAAGGAGATCAACGCTGCCAAAATCCAGGCTCACCACATTGTGGAGCATCAACAGGGCAGCCCCACAGTTCCTGTCCACTATGTCCTGGTGCCTTTCCATGACCCAGGTAGCTGTGGTCTGGCTGGGATAGTGGAGGGAAGGCAAGTCCAAGGCAAGGGATTAATGGCACCGATGGGCAGTGGGCCTGAGTGAGCCTTTCCCAGGTACCTGTGTGTATACAGGAAGCAATTGGGCACTTCTTCCACTGCTTCTGAAAAGGCACCAGTTCACGTCTGAATTTCATCATGACCCATGTTTAGGTGGGTGGCCTCTGCTTTCTTTGGCTTTAGTGCTAATAAGTCATTTTCAGTTCTCTCTACCTCTCACAGACAGAGGTTGGGGTGAAAATAGGGGTTTGGTGGGTCCAGGCCTCTGCAAAGTGTCTGAGACAGATACTTACATGGTATTCCTTTTCCTGACTAATTGGAAGTCAGACGATCTAGCCTGGGTCAACCAGTCTTACTATGTGTCCTTAAGTCGATCATATAACTTCTCTTTGCCTCAATTGGGTCACTACTAGCTTTATCCTGTCTATTTCCCAGGGTTGAAATGATTATCAGACAAAATGCTTATAGGACTGAGAATTCCCTCAGGGCAGGGTTTGAGTCCAACATGTCTGCATAAATGTCATAGTAGCTGGCATAGAATAAGGGCTTATCATATATTTAATGAAGGTATGAGTAAGTGAATAATGAATTCTGCCACTTACGCCCCCTGGCTGGTATAACTCAGTGGATTGAGCACAGGCCTGGGAACCAAAGAGTCACAGGTTCAATTCTTAGAGCACATGCCTGGGTTGCAGGCCAGCTCCCCAGTGGGGGCCACGTGAGAGACAGCCACACATTGATGTTTCTCCCCTCTCTTTCCCCCTCCCTTCCCCGCTCTCTAAAAATAAAGATACATAAAAATCTTTTAAAAAAAATTCAGTCACTTATGTGTCAAGGCACTCTTCTAAGATTTACAAAGCTGACTCTTTTAGTCCTCCCAATTCCTTCTGAGGTAAGTACTATTATTTTTCTGTCTTTTCTGATAAGGAAACTGAGGTCCCAGTTATTTTTTTATACTTATATGCATTCCCAAAAGGACCCAGGAAGTACTGCAGTTTTGTTAAGGACATGAGGTCCACTTTCCCACCGGAAGTACCTAGCCTCTGCCCTGCCTACATAAATATAAGGGAATATTGTCATTTCAGTACTTGTCCAGCCCAAGAGTACAGCAAGCCTCTTGCCTGGGGATGAATGAGGGGAGCCCTCTCCTCATGCAGCTCAGCCTCCTTTCCTTCTCCTCAGGGTTTGGTCCTGTCTTTACAACTAGTGACCCTGATAGGTTCTGGCAAAACTCAGTGAGATCCAAGCTTTGTGGGGTGGAGATGAGCCTGAGATGAGCCTGTCAGTCCTGGAGATTTGCCCTCCCAGCTTCCCTTCTTCTCCACCCTCCTTTCCAGGTGCTACCACAGGTGTGTGTGTGGGGGGCCAGCTAGAGCCTTCCTGGGGCCCCGCCCCTTTCCACCTTCAGAGCCTGGTCCCACTAGCTTCACTCAAGGGCCACGTTGCCGCCTCTGCCCTACCCATTCCTACTCCTGTTATTTTCACACCCGTCCTTCCCCTCCCCGCGAGCTGGCCCTGCTGCACAAACCTCCACTCTCAGACATCTTTGTCGTCACTGATGCCTCCCCCACAGATACCTTTCTCACCAACCGGGTGGAGTCCCTGACTCGTGACCGACACGGCAGAGTGAGCGTAGCCTGTGGGAGACCTAGTGTTAGCCACCCAGGGATGCAAGAGGCCCTGTGACAACCATCTCGTAACAAGGGTTCCACCACACTATGGTGGTTAAGCCTTGGCACGGGTGGGAGAAGGGTACAGCGTGCTTAACATTTCCTGATTCTTTTCACAATACTAAAAGGGTAGCAACACTACCCTTAGTGATGCTGAATTTGTGTTTGAACCTGCCTCCAAGAAACCATTTGAAGAACTGGAGATCTAGTTGCCAATAAACCACCCTGTGGATGTCATTATAACAGTGACAAGAGTGTGGCAATGACTAACTGAAGGCTGGGGGTTGTGTTACTGGAAGACCTTGTGTAGCCAGAGGGTAGACGGAGACCTTACCACTCACGGTGAGGTATGTGGAAAGTTGGAGCACAGGAGATCCTCACTTGTGATGGTGATGGTACTTGGGCACCTCAAGTACTGGCCTCCCTCCTGGGCACAGGTAATATTCTTGTGACTGAAGACCCATTATGGGGTCAGGGCCGAGCTCGTGAGGTCTTGTCCCCTCTGTGTTTTTGAGCCATATGACATGGTAGCCCTGGTCCCTGGAGGGGAGGTGATCTTCACCAAAGATAAGCACATCCCCAGCTGTTGCTGGGGACAGTATGGCTGACCTGGTAAGTGTAGGGTACAGAGGGACCCGTGCTTTCAGCTCAGAACTAAAGGGATGAGTGACACTGCATGCCTTTCCCATAGAAGGAAGGGAACGGCTCCCACTGCTGTGTTGCCAGTTGTCCCTCCCATGAGAGGGAGGAAAAGAACGTTCATCTGTGAGATCCGTGCCTACCCATCTTCTTCAGTGAGTACCGGCCCTCTGCCCCCAACCTTGGGCTCCAATTTTCTGTCCTCAGGGCCACCACAGGAAGTCCTGCCACCTTTTAAGGGGGAGAAAAGGAGTGACTGTCTCATCCTTAACCCCTCACCTCCAAATTTGTCATTCGCTATAATTTCATCCCTGGTCTTATGCCCCTCTCTTACTGGTATCCCTTTTCCAGATGTGAGATTCTTTCTATCTTTGTTCCCACCTCACTCCGTGCCCTATCTTCTCCCCATTTTCTGGTCTTGCCCATCCTTGCTCCCTGGAACCTCCTGCTGTGGTGCTTGGGAGGCCACTGTGTTCAGTGCGGATGGACTGCTCCAGAGGGTCGCAGTCTGGACCCACGGGGAGGCCGGCAGCTTCTGAATCAGGAACCATGCAGATACTTCCACGTGTGTGCCTCAAGGCGGAGGGAAGAACTGAGAATGGGAACTGCGGAGTAATGTACTAAGGGAAGACATTGTTTCATGTGACAATCTCTTGCTCCCCACTCCCACCCAGGGGTTCCCCAGGGCCAGGAGGAAGTCCAGGGGTCTCTAGGTCATGCCTGCTGCTCTAGACAGTTCTGGATGGTGACCATGAATGATCCCATAGACAAGGACCTGGGAGATTCAGGTCACAGCCCAGGGCACCCCCCTAGTGAGAGTGCAAAGTAAGGATGGAGATATCCCTGAGGAGGGGGGGTGGTGGGGAGGGAGGATTGCAGAGCTCAGAGAGCAATGTCAGTCATACTCATCTGGGGAAGGTCTCTGACTGCCTTTACCTCTCTCAACTCAGACCTTCCTAGACTTTGGGATCCTGATGGAGAATGGCCCCCACCCTGGCCTCTGCCCCCTGACTCAGCCAGTTGCAGGCACATCTATTCCCCACCAACCCCAATTTGTTCATTAATTTTACATTTATAAAATTCTAAATATATTTAACTTTCTATTGAGTTATAATATACATATTTTACATAAATGCGCACTAAGCTTAAGTATGCAGCTGGGTGGATTTCATACAATATACCCATGTAACCATCACTGAGTTCAAGATTTAGAAGACTTCCAGCCTCCCAGAACTCCCTTCTGACTCTTCCCATCAACACTCCCCAGAGGTAACCCCTTTTCCTCATCCTTACTCCCCAGAAGGAACCCCTATTCTGAAAGCCATTCATAGCATTCTTTTCTCTTTGTCTCAGAATCTCAGGCAGAGCACTGTTCTCCCCGCCCCTCCCCTGCCCCGGGTCTCTACCTGCAGCTGGTAGAAGTGACAGGGTTGGACTCTAGAGGTCACCCCAGTCATCCTCTGCCTCACATCTTCCACGTCAATCCTTTGATGGGTCCGCGGGGTGCTGAGCTGGGCCAAGTGCCTTCGGAGGCCAGGGAAGCCCATGAGCAAGGTCTCGTCACAGCCTCGCTTCTGTCCATGCTTCTGGCTACCCCCAAGTCCTTCTCTGGAGCTGACTGGCCAGGATGGAGGAAGGGCGTCCTGCATCTGGCTGCCCCCCAGCCTGGCAATGTGGTCCGGGCCCTTTGGGAGGTGAGGCACTTGGGGAAGGTGGCTGGGGCTAGGGAGACCTGGGACCCGCCTTCCTCTGCAGCTCTGGGGACCTTCCGGTTTCCTGGCTGAGGATCCCCCCAAACTCGCCCGCCAGCCCTTCACATCGCCAGCTTCTCTGGCCCTCAGGATCTTGATATTGGAGCATCTGTCAACTCTAGCTTCGCTCTCACTTCCAACCTCTCCACATGAAGCTTCTGAACCCTCCTGCTTCTTTCTGGTTCCCACACGTTCTGGCTGAGGATCCAGTACACACTTTTAAGCCCTACCTCTGGCCCCTTCCAATTGGCCCTCAGATTCTCCTCTCCCCTCCCCGCTGGGCTCTGCTCCTTGACTCAGCTGTTCAGTGCCTGGGCTTCAGATCGCTGTCTCTATCCACTCAATAGGATTTCTTGGGAAATGAGTAAGTCCCCCTGGGGGCGCCTAGGCTGGAGGTTTTCTTTCTCATGCACTTGTCTCTTCTCTTAACAAGATCGAGATAGAGGGTAATAGATTTCCCATAATGAAAAATCTCCCTAACCCTGGGGAACCAAACCAAAGACTCATTGGGGAAGTTGCTTTCTATTTCTCTGTAGCATCTTTATTCCACTATTTGTTCTTGCTCTTCCAAGCTCAGGGGGAGGGGAAGAGACAAAGGTAGGGAGGAGGGTAAAAGGGTACCAAAAAATGGGGTTTTTTATTTTTTAGATTTTATTTATCTTTAGAAGCGAAGGCAAGGAGAGAGGGAGAGAAATATCAATGTATGGTTGCGTCCCCTGCTAAGAACTTGCCTGCAACCCAGGCATGTGCCCTGACTGGGAATCGAACCATGATCCTTTGGTTCACAGGCCAGTGCTCAATCCACTGAGCTACACCAGCCAGGGCCCAAAAAGTGTTATTTATATAGTTTTGTATTTGAAATTCTGGAGGAACTTTTATTCTATTTTTGTATTTAAAGTTGATGGATGTTTCAATAAACACATCTTCTCCCCAGAGTGTTTATCAAAGAAAGATAATGTATGCACATCCTACAGGAGGGTGAGGGCGTAAGATCCCAAGAAGATGAAATGAAAACTTTCAGGAGCAGAGAAGAAACTTCACACCAAGATGTTTAGACTTCAGTTGACCCACAACCTGGAGCCATTTAGCTGTTGAGTCAAGAGGCAGAATAAGAAGATTCTGACTCATCCTCTCCTGTCACCAGTGAGGGGGATGAGAGGAGGCTTTAAACACTGGTAGGGCCCCTACACCCCTTGGGGAAGCTTGGCTGAGCCATCTCCCCTTTTGGCTGAATGACCTCTTTCTGCTGCATTGACAACTCCTGGAGAAGAGAAGAGAAACAGTCCGGACATCTGTGCTCTGCCCTCCCCCTCCTCCCCTCCAGTTTACCTGTCGTTGCATCAGTTCCGTTTCCTTGGCCTCCCTTCCAATTCTTGGTGAAACAGGAAAAAGCCTGTTCAAGGGACTCTGGGAGAACAGGGAGGGATATTCAATGTTCTCGTTCAAACCAGTGTTAATCTCCAATCTCCTCTCTACTCCAACCTCCCACCAGGGGTATCCAAACTGTTGGCGTCTCTGGGCCACACTAGAAGAAGAGTTGTCTTGGGCCACACCTTAAATGCACAAACGCTGACGAAAACTGATGTGCAAAAAAAAAAAAGATTTAAAATAAATGTATGATTTTCTGTTGGGCCACATTCATAGCTATCCTAGCCTGCATGTTGCCCACAGGTCGCAGGTTGGACACCCAAAAAACAATAAATTCACCTTCCCCTGAATCAGATTCTGCAAACAGATGTTCACCTCTTAAATCTGGGCTAACTGGGGACCTGCAGGCTCTGAGTCTAAATCTGTTAGGAAATCTGCCCTGTCTGGTGTAGCTCAGTGGATTGAATGCTGGCCTGTGAACCAAAGGGTCACTGGTTCAATTCCCAATCAGGGCACACGTGTGGGTTGCAGGCCAGGTTCCCAGATGAGGGTGTGCGAGAGGCAAAGGATCAATATATCTCTCACACATTAATGTTTCTTTCCCTCTCTTTCTCCCTCCCTTCCCCTCCCTCTAAAAGTAAATAAATTTTAAAATTTTAAAAGAAACTAACTAAATAAGTAAATCTGTTAGAAAATCCTAAAGGAGGAGTTGGAGGCTGACAGTGTGAAAACCTGAGGTCCATCTGCCGCTATTTTCCATCACCACAGGCCATTCCTCTTTTTCATCTGGATCCTTTCATTCCAATACCCCTCTAAGACAGGTGGGAAAACCCAATACTCCCCACTCCAGCTCTTTAACAGTTCAGTCCCTCCATCCCCTCAAGTAACACGTTACCATCTTTCTTCATGGATATGCCCTGTCTATCCCTGACCCATTGGAGTAACCCAGGCCAGTTGCCCATGTCATGAGGGATCCAAACACTACCATCTGAATGGAATGCAGACTAGTCTCCAATCCCCAAAATGAAAGCCAACCTAACATTTACTGGCACTGTAATAACATTTACTGTTATTACAATGTTGCTTCTAATTCACGACCCCTGTCCATTAACTCTCTCCTTTTCAGGATGGTGTCAGGCTGTGTCCCCATGTCCCTGCTCCCCATCCCACACACCTCAGGGCAACCCCATACCTCACCAGTGACCCCCCACACACATAGCTGCTGTTGCTGTGCCTCCCTCAGCTGGTCCTCACACCAGGCCTGGCCGTACTTCAGCAGCTCTAACCCCTGCCACAGGGTCTGTTCCCTCTCCAAAGCCTGTATCCTCCGCAGCTAGAAAATGTAAGAGGCAGAGGCTGCATCACTCTACATTAGGGCTCTGGACCCTGCCCTTTCTTGAAGCTCCTGCTTGGGTTCACTGTCTGGTCACTGAATGTGAGCCCAGACTGGGCAAGGGAAGACTTACGAGTCCTCAAAATTGTGTGGAAATGTAGGGGGCAGATCCAGAGAGAGGGGCTTCCCCTGGATCTTCTTGGACTAATAGAGGAAGAAGTTCTGGGTCTCTGAGTCTTGGTGGCTTGTCCCCAGTGGTAGCAGCAGAACTATGTAGGAGGCCTACACCAGGAGCAACCCTCCAGCACCCTGGCTTCCCATGGCTCGGAGGTGGGAAGGGCGGAGCCACACCCACTGGTGCCCAGGGCTGGCCCCTCCCCCTCCACACCTCGCTGAGTCACACTGGTCTACTTACTGGTCTTTCAGTCTCTCAGAGCCCTCCTGCTGTGGCTGTCTGAGCCTGAGGTGTTCCCATCTCCTTGGTTTCCTGTCTTCCCTCTTAATCTGTTTTTGTAGGGTCTCTTGAAGTTAGTTTCTTTTTTTAAAAAGATTTTCTTTATTTATTTTTAGAGAGAGGGTAAGGGAAGGAGTGAGGGAGAGAAACATCAATGTGTGGTTGCCTCTCAAAGACCTCCTACTGGGGACCTGGCCACACAACCCAGGCACCTGACCTGGCAGGAAATTGAACGGGCAGTGCTCTGGTTTGCAGGCCGGCACTCGGTCCATTAAGCTGCACCAGCTAGGGTTGAAGTTAGTTTCCTATGAAGTCTCAGGGGGTAGAATCCCCCTCTGTCCTCCTACAGAACTGTCACTATGTTTTTAAAATTAATATTTATTGATTTAAGAGAGAGACAAAGAGAAACATTGATTTGTTCCACTTAAAAAAAAAAGATTTTATTTACTTTTAGGGAAGGGAGAAGAGAGGAAAACATCAACGCGTGGTTGCCTTTTGCATGCCCCCTACTGAGGACCTGGCCCACAACCCAAGCATGTGCCCTAGAATGGGAATCAAACTGGCAATCCCTTTATTCACAGGCTGGCAGTCAATCCACTGAGCCACACCAGCCAGAGCTGCTGCTCCACTTATTTATGCATTCATTGGTTGATTCTCTCTTTTTTTTTAAAGATTTCATTTATTTATTTATTTTTAGAGAGAGGGGAAGGGAGGGAGAGAGGGAGAGAAACATTGATGTATAAGGCATACATCTGTAGCCTCTTGCACACCCCCAACTGTGGACCTGGCCCACAACCCAGGCATGCACCCTAGCTGAGGATGGAACCAGTAACCTTTCAGTTTGCACATCACAGCAGCCAGGGTGTCACTATATTTTTAATGAGGTAGGTCAGGTCCTTCTGTAGACTCCTGCTTGATGCTTATCTCTTTTCTATTCTCTTGCTTTGTTTTGGCTGGAATAAGAAAACAATAACTTTATCTAAAAACAAAAACTTTATTCCGAATACGAATCGAAATTTCCAGAGAAACTGAGAATTCTGGGTTTGAAGATGATAATAAAATGAAGAGGGCGTGGCAGCCCACGGGGGGGGGGCTTGGGAAGTGGAGGTGGGCAGAGGAAGGATTCTCAGAGGATGGTAGTGGCCGCAGGCAGCACTTCCTGACTCATGAAAATCTCCAGGTCCAGGTTGGGATCTTCCAAATCCAGTTTCAGGAACTTATCTACTAATGTCTGGCAACTGAGGGGAAAGAGAACAGTGAGATACATGAGATAATTGATTCCTGAGCAGAGGGGAGAAGCTGTGGCACAGGAAACTGAGACCTTGAAAATTCTGGGATTTCAGAAACAGTGGGTCACTGAAAGGCAAAGTGGCTTTCTGAGTCCCTGCAAGGGGAGAAGAGCTGCACAAGATGCTAGAGAGAACAAGGAACCTAGGTCGTGCACTCACTTTTCCATTTGCCTCTCCTTGAGCAAGTCCTTGATAGGCTTGATGGGCTTCCCACCGCGAATCAAGTCCGAGACCTGGGCACAAGAAGGAAGGGGAAGAGGTAGGGGAGTTGGGGAAGAAAAGAGGAAGTAAGTGTCAGAAATCCAGGCCCCTGAGAGGAGCAGGGCAGTGGAAGCAAGCCCTGATTGACACGGTTCACATCAGGATCTCATCACCTCCTTGCCACGAGAAATGAGCTTGTCAGGAACCCTGGCCTGGGCGGCTGTGTGGGAGGCATGGCTGGCATTGGCAACACCTTCACAAACCCGATAAAAGAAGACAAGGTCATTCCCATCCTCGCAGGTCTCCATGGTCTTAAAAAAGAATAAAAGGGGACAGTGTATCATTATTGCTTAGCCTCTTGCCCCAAAACCCATGGCCAATCCCTGTGGGGAGTGAGAAAAGGGAACAGACATGGTCCCTGTGTTCAGGGAGCCCCTGTTCTGATGGAGGAGCCAATCTCCAGCCCTGGGAAAGTCGGTTTAGGGGCCCCTCGGGGGCTAGATTAGTTTCCTCACCAAATACTGCACAAGGGGCCCCTGTGGTAGCAGCTGTAGCTGAATGAGGCTCAGAAAGTTCGTGGCGACAAAGACGTGGGGACATGTGGGTCCAAGTGACAGCCAATGTCGAAGCACAGCAGCCAGAAGTGCAAGCCCATCCACCTGTATAGAGGACGGGGTGAGGGTGCAGAACCATGGGTGCTCCATGTGCACCCCTTCCACCTGTTCTGGCCTTTCCCGTCTTATACTTTTGTTTCTTCTCTGCCCATATCCCTATTTTCCTGAGGCCCACCCACCCCCTCATGCTCCTTTATCCTCCTCCATTATCCCCTCCTCAGTTCATCAGTTTCTCCTCTCACCGTGTTGGTTCCCTTTCCGAATTCATCAATAAGGACAAGGGACTGCTCTGTGGCATTGTTCACTGCTTTTGCCACCTGCTGGGTACCAGGTAGACAAAGGAGAGTTTCATTAGCATTTGAAGCCTGTAACACGCTGACCACAGTCTGCCTGTGAATAAAGCTGCTTTATGTATTATGTGTCCACCCTACTGGACTGCAAACTCTTTAATGGCGAGGCACATGTTTTGTTTGCCCTTTCATTGCCTACAGTGCCTCAAGCAAAGCAAGCATTCGAAAGAGGTTCTCTAGTATAGAGGGCAGGCAGCAGAGGGAATGCTTTACCTGTTCTGATCATTTTTCATGGGTAAAGTTCCTTCACCATTACCCCCTCCCTCAATCCCACCTCTCTTTGCTCCATTTGACCTGGTTGAGGTCGATCATGAAAGTAGAAAGGCCCAGGGAGATGGATTCGCAGCTATGAATTCGGGTGAAGATGGCATCTACTGCCCCGATCTCAGCTTCCTCTGCTGGTACAAAGCTGCCCACCAGGGCCATGAATGTGATCAAGCCTACCTGGGCAGAGAAAGAGACAGAGCCTGAGCCCTAGCGAAACAGGCTGAGGTGAAGGCGAGGCTAAACTGAGAGGTAAATAACAGATCAGAGAGGCATGGACACAGTTTAATAGAAGGTCACATGCCCTTCTACTCACTTTAGAATCAGTAGAGAGGGAGAGCACACGGGTCATCTGGGGCACAATGGGGAATGGCATGGACCTATTCAGAGGGAAGGGAAGGGAACTGATGCCATGGAAAGATCTATTAGGTCATGGTTCTCCCTCAAGTGGAGAATGAAACATGTGAGGCAGAGGAGTATGGTGTGGATTACAGTGTCTTCATGTCTTTTGGGTTGGAACCCAAAAGAGCTGCAGGAACCTGGGTTCGCTGGCGGGTGGGGGATGAGATGATGGAGAAGATGCCAGAGGCCCAGTGTGTAGGAGTCTCCTACCTGTTTGAGGTATATGCTCTTCCCTGAGGAGTTGGGTCCAGTGATGACTTTGACCCTCCCTTTGTCCCCACCGCATTCTGCAGAGTTGGGCACAAAGGTTTGGGCACAGAGTTCCATCAGAGGATGTCTGCAGTGAGTGGAGAGCTATTTCACACATGGGCCAGATGGATAAAGCCCCCAGACACTCCCCTCGTGTCTATGCCTTCACCCCCTCTGTTCTCACCTGCCATTCTGGATTCGTACCCCAAGGAGTTGCGGGGAGTAACGGGGCCTTGAGTAGCCATAGTCCCGGGCAGCACTGGCAAGAGCCAGCAGGACATCTAGGCGGGAGGCAAGGTCCAACACCCGGGTCAAGACAGCTGCCCGTACCAGCACCTGACACTGCAGCTGGTACATCAGCAGGGTCTCCCGATCTGAGGGTAGGTGAGGGAAAAACTGGGAGTCAGCTCCAGGGGAATGTGAACGAAAGACAAAGAGACCAGCAGAGCGACCTGGAAACAGACTTGCAGATACAATCTGAGATAACCTAGAGACATTTAGAGAAGATGTAGAGTCAGAGTGAAAAGAGCAAGAGCAGGAAGAAAGGGAGCCCATTAGAATCTCCAAGCTGCCCACTCCCCTCCAGCCTTTCACCTTTCCTCACCCCGGATATCGCAGTGCAGGTCCCCCAGCAATGCATCCAGCTCCTTTGTTCTAGCACTGCGATAGTGCAGCTTCTCTTCTGAGAGAAACTGGGTAAGAGAGTTCAAGCTGTGGGCTTTGCATCTCTTGGTCCTCATCCTCTCCCACCTTTCTAACTCCACCTCCAGGTCTCCACCTGACTTCCTTCTCCTTCTTCTTGGAGCTAATACAGATCAAAGTAAAACTACAGAAGAGAGATCCCATATTGGGCAGTACTGATGGAGTAAGCCCCCCTGTCAGATTCGAATTCATTTTCTTTATCGACTCCCTACAGAAGTTGAAGGTCTTACCATGAAGTCCAGTCCCTCGATCTCAAAGTCACTGGCCTCCACCATGGAAGGCAGGCGGGGAATAGAAAGAAGGAAGCCTATCTGGAGAGAGTAAAGAGGGGATAAAGCAGAACATGACGTATGGGGCACCTTCTCCTTAGGAGAAGCAAGAGTCCCTTTTATACCCGATGCTTCCCTCAGGGAGCTAAAGCCACCACAAGGTGTTCATGTTTTTCAGGCTTCTGCAGATGTTTTCTTATCTACCAGTGAGTCCTTCATAAGCCTAGTGTCTTCTCTAAAGACCCCTGGAGATTACACCCAGCTTCCTGCCCTCACCAGAGGGATATAGATGACACTGCATGAAGGAATACGGGAGTCCAGACTCTCGAGCTCTTTCCAAGCGACTTCAGTGAGGAAACTGGGAAGTCCCACCAGCCTTCGTTTTTCTAGAAGGGTAAAAGACATGTGGATGTCAAAAGTAAGGTTCATGCCCTGGTTGCCATGCTTAGCCCCAGTGGTAGTGGCTGTCTACCAAGGATGGTACCCCATCACTGGGCAGGAACGTGTTTCAGGGCTCACAGGCCCAT